ATTTTGGATTTTCGCGCGCGCGCATTTCCTCACCATCAGCCTCATCAGCGCCGCCGCATGACGTGAATATCATCGGCACTCGTTGCCAATGCCGCCATCATCACCCATGCACCTGCATCATCGACTCATCATGATCATCATCATGACCACCATCATAACAATTATCAGCATCATCATCATCAGCAGCATCACCATCGTCATCACCATCATCGGCGTTACATTGACCCCGTCGTTGGCCCTGCCGTCGTCATCGTCATCCTCGCCACCACCTTCGTTACTATCATAATATTTGCCGCAGATACTGACATCATCAGGATACCGCGCCCGCCCGAGCCACCGACCCGCATTGAAGTGCCCACGCGCGAGCGCGTTGACACGCGCTGGAAAGTTCCCATCGGTAAGCGCCATGAAAGCCGCATCGGCTGTGCCAAACTAGCTGGCCGCTCTGCGCGCGAGCCTGCGCGCGCCAGCGCGGCCGCAGAGATGCGCCAGCCATGGCCAAGCAGTCATCGCCATCGCCACCACATACGTCGGCATCGCCTTTATAATCGCAATCGCTGTCGGATGGGGTTTTGCCAACCAAGTCACGAGTGGGTGGGTGGGAAATTTGCACGAGCATGGGAGGTAGTCCCGTGCGGCTCAGGGCAGTCGCGTACACCACATAGCTTAAGCCGCGTAGCGTACACCACGTAGCTCGCACCGCTTCGATTTTCTTATTCGGAAACAGTACGAGGATCTACCACCACCACCCCGAAGTAACGGGATCCTTTTTCGTACTGCAATTCGTTGCACATGATTCTGCCCCATCGTCCACCCTAACTCTGAATTCATACCACCCCAGGTAGGCTGGTATCCCTCCTCATACCCTGCAACAAGTACTATGCGCGCACACCCCTCTATAAAGAAGTATCCGTGTTCAAGAACCCCTTGAAAAATTATCGGAAGAAGTACACACGTACGCGTCGTCACGCGCGCATGCCGAAATCCTTTAAAAACTTGTTAGGGTTTCGTAAGAATTTCAAAACCGAGTGTCCCCCATATGCAGTTGTGAGCACCGTCGTTGTATGCACCGCATTCGGACGAGCTCCCTATAGGGTCACGAAACGTGTGCGGGGTGTGCCAAAATTTGTCTGGCGGGCGCATGCGAAAGCAGCCACTGGGGCTGTCGGTGGAATGCCCTTTGGGACCACGAAACGCGTGAGAAGTGTACCGAAATGGGCGCGGTGGGCGCATGCGAACGCAGCCACTGGCGCCTTCGGTGGAGCTCCCTGTGGGGCCACGAAACGTGTGAGGGGTGTGCCGAACTGGGCGCGCGTGGCGCATGCGGGCGGCGGCACTGGGGCCTTCGGTGCAGCTCCTTGTGGGGCCACGAAGCGTTGTACTGGGTGTGCCGAAATGGGTATGCGTGACGCATGCGGGTGGTGGCACTGGGGCCTTCGGTGCAGCTCCCTGTGGGGCCACGAAACGTGTGAGGGGGGTGCCGAAATGGATGTGCGTGACGCATGCTGGCGGTGGCACTGGGGCCTTCCTGTGGAGCTCTCTACGGGGCCACGAAACGTGTGATGGGTGTGCCGAAATTCATGTGCGTGACCCATGCGGGCGGTGGCATTGGCGCCTTCGGTGGAGCTCCCTGTGGGGCCAGGAAACGTGTGATGTGTGTGCCGAGCTGGGTGTGCGTGACGCATGCGGGCAGTGGCCCTGGGGCCTCCGGTGGAGCTCCCTGTGGGGCCACGACACGTGTGAGGGGTGTGCCGACATGGGTACGCGTGGCGCATGCGAGCGGTGGCGCTGACGCCTTCGGTAGAATTCCCTGTGGGGCCAGGAAACGTGTGATGGGTGTGCCGAACTGGGTGTGCGTGACGCATGCGGGCGGTGGCCCTGGGGCCTCCGGTGGAGCTCCCTATTCCCTATGGGGCCACGAAACATGTGAGGAGTGTGCCGACATGGGCACGCGTGGCGCATGCGAGCGGTGGCGCTGAGGCCTTCCGTGGAGCTCCCTTTGGGGCCACGAAACGTGTGAGGGGTGTGCCGAACGGGGTGTGCGTGACGCATGCGGGCTGTGGCCCTGGGGCCTCCGGTGGAGCTCCCTGTGGAGCCACGAAACGTGTGAGGGGTGTGCCGAAATGGATGTGCGTGACCCATGCGGGCGGTAGGACTGAGGCCTTCGGTGAAGCTCCCTTTGGGGCCACGAAATGTTGTATTGGGTGGGTGAAACGCAGGGAGGAGGGTTGAGGGGAAGGAAGAAAGACGCGGGAGGAGAACGCGGGGCGCCGTCTCTTCAAAACGAGGACTCAACACCACAGGATGGTTGGGAAAAAACAGACGGTTTCGCAACAAGAATGTTCAAACAAACATGCGATCGCGCCCTTGCGAATTCTTAAGAAAATGTGCTAGGTTGTTCAGCATGTTCGCAAAATTCTACAAAAAGGGCCGTCTCGCGCGTGCATGTCGAAATCGTTCAAACGCCCTTGCGCGCGTGGTGTGGCAAGAATCCCTTGCGAAAAATGCTGCGAAGTCGTCGCGCGTGCATGCCGAAATTCGTCATCAACGCTAGGTTTCGCAAGGCTAAAGAAATCGAGTGCCCCGACAACATATGAAAGCACATGACTTTGCAACATGAGTTTTCAACCACAAAAAGGATTGCTACCGCGCTTCTGCGAATGCTGAAGTAATCATGGATCTTTCAACATCACTCAAGTATGCCAACTTGGCCTCCCGCGCTGCAGGTCGAAATCATTCGGTCGCCCCTGCGCGCGTGTTGGGTGGGGCACGATCCGTGCCACATAATACGGTGCGGGTCACTCTCGCGCGTCGGCCGCGCGCGCATGTCAAACTCCTTCCAGAACCTTCATCACCGACGCGAGGACGCCACCATCGTCGTCGGCGTGATCAGCATCGGCGCCGTCACAGGACTTGCTGTCGTCGTTGCCACCATCGTCACCAGCATCGCTACTACCATCACCGTATCTACCTTTGTCACGTTGTCCTGATACCGGGCCCGCCCAAGTCGCCGATTCGCACTGAAGTACCCGCTGGGAAGTGCCCAACGGTCAGCCCACCACGGCCGCGCCTACGGCGCCAAACTAGCTGGCCGTTGCGCGCGCGAGCATGCGCGGGTTAGCGCAGCCGCAGCGATACACCAGCCAACATCAAACATTCATCGCAGTCGCCGCCGCATGGGTTTTGCAAACCAAGTTGCGGGTGTGTGGGTGGGGTGATTGCGCGAGCAGTGGAGTTGACAACCTCAACTTCGCCCGGGTGAATTTCACCACTGAGCTTCCACCATATATATATACATGTATGTATTGTTTCACGTAGTTTGCACCATGTATGTTGCGCGACATACCTTACACAGCATAGCATACACAGCATAGCTTACACGACAGAACCTGCACCACCCAATTTCACATCCACAGTACAATGCTTTACTGTTTGGGATCTTGGCGGGCTCACAATTTTTGTTTTTTGTTGACATGATTGGTGGGGGAGTGCTCGTTGTTCCTGGTCGGCGGGGGAGGGGGTGTTTCTCAATAAGGAGCAGTGATAAGCCCTTCCTCGAAGGAGAGGGAGGGGTTGGAGCAACTATCGCCTTAAACCACCTACCCTCAGTGAGCTGGTGAAATTGGTGGACGCACCATTTGGGCACAATTTCTGGTGCAGTTATTCTCGCGAGCGCCAGTTCCATGTTTTCTCCTTTGTAATTACAACGAAGTTGGGTTCACGTTGTGCTTGCGGGCGTAGATGCCCATTCCAGGTCACGTCCCAGAACGGGGTCAGCGTATGAGTTCTGTCGGCATTCGCAGCAGGCGTTGGCAAGGAGCGGCGTGTGCAGGATATGCGCGCCTTGGTATTGAATACAGCGCTTGGTTCGGGCTGTCGAAGACTAAGTGCGCGCGCAACGGGGCGGTTGAAACTGGTACGAGACGAAGACACAGCGGAGCCGCTGACAGCTACCAGCTGTTGGTAGACCTTTTTTCATCGGTCAGCTGCAAGGTCTTGCAGTGTTGGTCCCAGGGCGCGGAGAGGCTCTGGGGCCTGGACGGACAGGGGAAAAAGTGAGGGGCCCCACAGAAAGTCACAGTCTCGCGAGATATCGAGCATTCAACCTGACATCCGACGCGTTTGTGTTTCACGGCGCGGACCCCTGGAGATTTGGCTGCCGTCCCCAGGACGGATTTTTCGTCGCGCGCCGTTTTGTGATCACCTCGGCGCCCCAGTCGGGCCCCCAAGGGCTCAAAGCTTCAGAGAGAACCGACCGTCGTCAGTTCTTCCGTGCCTATTCACGACGCCCGGGGTCCGGGTGCTCTTCTTGAGCAGCACACTCAGGGGCAACGCTAGGGCGGGATGGGGTAGGCTCAGAAGGGGGACTCATCGACCCCCAATCGCCCCCTCATGGCGGACAGCGGCCTGATAGCCCACCCCGCCCAGGCACGTGCGGATTCGCTATCGGGGGCCTATCGCCGATTTATCGGCGATGTATCGCCGATTCCAGCTCAATGTTTCCTCACCCTGAGCCGCCCCTCCCCCTAACGTTCCACCTCAGATCCCCCCCGGGGCAGCACACCTGGTTCCGATCGGGAGCCCACAGAGGGGGGTAGCGCATGGTGGGGTCAGGGAGCGGACCCAGCGAGAGGCTCGCATTTCCGTCGCCCAGGGGCCGTCCAGAGCGATGTTCTTCCAATCCCACATGTTTGGCCAAGCAGAGCGTGGCCTCCAAGACCCGACTGCGAAGACGGACGCCTCAGCCGACTATTTGCGCGGGCAAGGAAGTGTGAGCGCAGGAGGAGGAGCAGGAGGAGGCAGGATGAACTCTAGAGCCTGCGGCGACAGCGACAGGAGGAGGAAGAGAGGAGGCGGAAGCTGTAGACAGGGGCGGAGGAGGAGGAGGAGGAGGAGGAGGAGGAGGAGGAGCAGATGCAGCAGCATTGGCAGCAGCAGCAGCAGGGAAGAGGCGTCTGCTTCGCCCCCCCGCCCCCCCGCGGCTCTCCCCAAGCGCACAGGCCGGCCCCGCGGGCGAGTCTGCGGAGGTGGTTGCTCAGAGCCGAGGCGCCGCGATGGAGGAAGGAGACGCAGGAATTGTTGCTTGTTGTTTTTCGGCCACGCGCAGAGGGGTGCAGGGGGGGGGAAGGCTTCTCAGAGCACCCCTGCTCCTCGGAATTTGCGGGTCGTACCTTCTCGCATCTATAGATGCGAGGCCTTCCCTCCTCCCCCATTCCCCCCCTTGTGCGCGCCGTCAAGCGCCTCACCATCACCATCATCGTCGTCTTTGCATCGCTCGGACGTGTGCATGTTTCTCTCGGCGAGGACCATCGAGGAGCATCCTTGAACATCAAGCCGAAAAAAACACGCACGAAACCGAAAAATGCACGGGAATGGACGTCCAAGCGATATGCCCTTCCTCGGAAACTGGAACGTATACATTACCAGTGGCGGGTTGTTTTTCAATCCCAGGATCTTTTGAGGGGCGGGGACGACGTCGGGGTGGTGTGGTGTATACTTTTTTCCCCGTTTCCCCGTGGAAACAACAAAAAATGTATACACCAGGATGCCGTATACACCAGAATCCGTTTACTCGTGCGGATCTCGGTGCGGGGCTGGCAAAAAGCATCGGTGTGTAAAGTTCGGTTCCTTACTTCCTCGAGCACCGGAGTAGGAGAACAAAAAAGTGGCATAAACATAACTCGGAGGTCCGCGCGGATTTCTCGGATCAGCGCTGGGGCCCCCCGGCGGCGCCTCCGGCGCCGCCCCTGGCTCCGCGCGCCAAGGAGGGGGGTCCAGCGCCGATCCGAGAAATCCGCGCGGACCTCCGAGTTCTTATGTTTATGCCACTTGTTGTTCCCTGCGGAGGGCCGCAGAGTCCCCCGAGGGGCACGGGGAGCAGCCGGGAGCACCTCGGGGCCGGGGCCACTCCCGGGCGGCGCCCCGAGGCGGCGGCAGGGAGCAGCTGGGAGGGCAGGAGCAGGGGAGGGCACGGGCGGGGGGGGAGAGGAGCGGGAGCGGGGGGGGGAGACGAAGGTCAGGAGGGGAGGGAAAAAAAAAACAAAAAACAACAAAAAAAGAAAAACGCAGACAAAAACAACAAAAAAGAAAAACGCAGACATAATGAATCGTCGATTCCCAGGAAAGTGTGGGAGAATATGGGAAGTGGGGGGAAGACCAGAGTTCGGCTTTACAACGTGTAAAGTGGCTTTACAACGTGTAAGTGCTGTTCGGTTGAAGTTGGTTGGTTTCTGGTTAGAAATGCGGCCTAAACACGTGTAACGTGAGCGGCTAGGACGCCCAGAACAACCCATGACCAACCAGAAAGCAACCAGAAGTCAACCAGATGCACCTACACGGTGTCAAGCCGATCTCGGTTGGCTTGTGGTTCGTTCTGGTTGGATATGGGGCCAAAACCCGTGTAACTTGGCTGGCGGGTGCCTGCCAACCAGAGGCAACCAAAAGCCAACCATAATCGTTAGTTGGCCGCGGCTGGCCGGCTGACTGGCTGGCAGGCCGGCGGGCTGGCGGGCTGGCTGGCTAACTGGCTGGCTGGCTGTCTGGCTGGTTTGCTGGCTGGCTGGTTGGCTGGCTGTCTGGCTGGCTGTCTGGCTGGTTTGCTGGCTCGCTGGCTGGCTTGCTGGGTGGCTTCTGGTTAACTTCTGGCTGGCTGGCTGGCTGTCTGGCTGGCTGGCTGGCCGTCCGGCTGCCTGGCCGGCTGCCTGGCTGGTTGGCTGGCTGGGCCCTGGTTGACCTCTGGTTGACTTTTGGCTGGCTGGCTGTCCGGCTGGCGGCGGCGGCGACGACGACGACGACGACGACGACGACGACGACGACGACGACGACGACGACGACGACGACGACGACGACGACGACGACGACGACGACGACGACGACGACGACGACGACGACGACGACGACGACGATGACCACGGCTGACTGGCTGGCAGGCCGGCGGGCTGGCTGGCTGGCTGGCTGGCAGGCTGGCTGGCTGGCTGGCGGGCTTGCTGGCAGGCTTGCTGGCTGGCTGGCTGGTCGGCTGGCTGGCGGGCTGGCTGGCAGGCTGGCTGGCTGGCTGGCTGGCTGGTCGGCTGGCTGGCTGGCTTGCCCCTGCTTGACATCTGGTTGGCTGGCTGGCTGGCGGGTCGGCTGGCGGGCTTGCTGGCTGGCTGGCTGGCTGGCTGGCTG